TACCCCCAGACCTGCCCCAGCTGCAGGAGGTGGCTGAGGCCCTGCAGCAGCCCCATCCCCACCCCTCAGTCCCCCCTCATCCCCCCACATCCCCCCGTACCCCCAGACCTGCCCCAGCTGCAGGAGGTGGATGAGGCCCTGCAGCAGCCCCATCCCCACCCCTCAGTCCCCCCCGTGCCCCCCACATCCCCCCGTACCTCCAGACCTGCCCCAGCTGCAGGAGGTGGATGAGGCCCTGCAGCAGCCAGACGCAGAGGCGGCAGCAGCCGCGGGGGCCGCGGGCGCTGTCCTTGGTGCCGCCGGCGCTGTCCTTGGTGCCGGCGGCGAAGTCGTACACGAACCACCTGAAGCTGAGCAGCTGCACCACGAGCGAGGGCAGCAGCACGAAGAGCAGCGTCAGCCCGAACCACCACCGCTGCCCCCGCACGTAGTAGTGGGCCGCCAGCCACAGGTCCGAGGCGCCGTCCGCGAAGCAAACCAGGAGGGCGCAGAGCACCCAGCAGCCGTCCCGCAGCCGGTACCGCCGCGCCGGGGGGGCCGCGCCGCCCCCCCGCCTCCCGCCGCCGCCGCCGCCCGCCGGGCTTTCCAGCCGCACGGCCGGGCCGCCGCCGTCCGACTTCGCGGCCATGTTGCCGGGGGAGAGGAGGAGAAAGGAGGGAGCGGGAGAGACTTCCGGAGCCGGCGAGCCCGCCCCGGCAGAGCCCGCCCCTGCCGGCCTCGCCCCGCGCCCGCCGGGCCGGTGCCCGCCGGGACCCCCGCCCACGCTCGGTCCCGGGAGCGCCCCCCCCCCCCCCCCCCCCCACCTCCCTAAACGCCGCCGCTCCCCTTCCGGAAAGGGCAACCGCCGCCGCGGGGTCCCCCGGGGGAGCGCTCGGTGCCGGGTGGGCGCGCTTCCCCGCGCCACCGCCCGTCGGGATGAGCAACCGACACCCCCCCCCCCCCCCCGCCTCTCTCCCCCGGGGCTTCTCACCGGCAAGGGTGGCCCGGGCCCCTCCGAGCCCCCCCCCCCGCCCGGAGCCAAGGGGTCCTCCCCGCATCCTGGCCCGGTCCCGCTGGGCCCCCCCCCCGCCCCCGGGGGCAGCGGCCACGCTGTCCGGCTGCCCCCCATCCAGCCTGTTAGGGACCGGAGCTCCCTTGGGGTCCCCCTGACCCCCAGGCTCAGCCCAGGGCGAGACCCCTGCCCGTGGGTCCAGCCCTGGAGAGGGCCAGGGTGATGTGAGCCCCCCCCCCCCCCGCCCCGGGCCTGGGGGGGTGGAGATGCTGCAGGTGCCTCTGCTCCCCAGGGGCCAGGCGGGGGTCACAAGCCACCGGGCTCCTGCCCAGAGGGATCCCAGCAGGGACCTGCAGGGCTGGACCTAAGCCCTGCTTTGGGGGGAGACCCCCCCAGCCGTGGGGAAGCCCCCGAGGAGCCGCACGAGGAGGTGAAGTGCCAAGGTCTCTGGGTGGCCCCGGGGCGCCGAGGTTTGGGTGGGCATGTGCCCAGATGCTGCCCCGCTCCTCGGCTCTGCCCCACCACCTCTCTGCCCACCCGGGGCATCGGCTGCGGCGTGTCTGGCAGAGCCGGGCTGCGAGGGGCCGGCAACCCCCCCCCCCGGGACACATGCTGGCACGAGGAGCAGCACCGTGCCGGCACCCCCAGCGCTGCTGGGAGGGAAAGGGCTTTTTCCTCCTTTGCAGCACGTCTCCAGGGAGGGTGATGGCATGCAGGCAGCTGCCTCGTGAAAGCGGTTTCAGCCCCCCCCAGCCCCGAGGGACGGACTCGGGCTCGCTGCTTCTCATCCCCCAAGGCTCAAGCCCTGCGCGCCTGCCTGCGGAGGAGCCACGCGCGTGGCTGGAGCCCAGCCCACGGCGAGCCCTCCGCAGCGAGGGGGGGAGCGGGGTTTATCCCGGGAAACACGGCCAACTTCCAAACTCCGCCTTGCAGAGCAGAGCAGAGCAGCGCAGGGGGAGCCGCACAGCCCCAGCGTGAGTCTGGGTCCCCGGTGCACAAACCCGAGGGGGCAGGCGGGGGGCAAAGCGGGGGGGAAGGCGTTAGTCAGCACAAGGGAGCAGAGTCAGGGCCCTGGCGAGGCTCTCCCAGTGCTGCATCTATTAGCATGGGTAATGAGACTTGCAGACCTAACCTTGAGATGCTCCTGACAGATCCCCTCAACAAATGCCTGCCTGGGGGAGGGGATGCTCCCAGCATCCCAGAGCCTGAAGAAAGGAGCCTTTCATCACCACCGGGCAGGGCCAGGGCCCCTTCTGAGGACAAGGACGGGCTCCGCTGGCCAGAGCCCCTGCCGACGCCTGGCCAGCCCCAGCCCTGCTTCGGCTCAGTCCCTGGAGATTCTCTGTCCTGGCTGGGAAATGCAGCAGAGCTGGCGGTGGGCACAGCAGTAGGGAGAGGGGACCTGGAGACCAGGGAGAGACGGACCCACCTTCCCTCACAGACCCTGAAACGCCCCTTCCGAAAGCGGAGTTAAACATCCACACCCTGAGACTGTGGGGACTGCTGTTTGAAGTCTGATTTATCTGAACAACAGACCCCAGCCGCCACAGGAAAAAATGAGAGAGGAAAAAAACCTATAAACATCCCTGAAGTCTTCCCGTGCAGCTGTCAGCAGGCAGGGAGGGCTTCTAGCTGCATACATAAAAGTGCTGCAAGGAAAAAAAAAAGGAACGTGCTGAAACCAAACCCCGCTCTTTCCACAGTAGAATACACAGCAAAGCGAAGCAGCCCTTGGCAGCGGGCGGGCGGCTGGGCCCTCTGACTGCCGGGTTCCCAGCAGGGCAGAAAAACATGCAACTGGTCCAAAGGGACCTCTGGTCCCTGGGCTGAGTCCAGCTTCCAGGCAAAAGGTCTGATGCTGGTGCCGGTTCCAGGAGGAGAAATCTTTGATTTACAGCTGGCTCAGAGCTGGGGAGAGGCCGCAGAGCGCAGCCCCCGCCGCCGCTCGCTGCCCTGCACCTCGTTTTCCTGGTGCCCGTGGCTTTGCGATCCCCTCCTGCCACAGCAGCTGCTGCTGCAGCTTCCCCCTCCCCGGGGGGAGCAGCCCCTGCCCCTCCGTGCAGCCCGACGTCCCTGGCACAACCCTGCCTTCACCGCAGCGTCACTGCCCACCCCGCACGCTCACTGTGCTTCCTCCTGCACGAGAACCAGGCGCTCTTCCCTCCTGATCCCATCAAAGCCACAAGGATCCAACGCTGCCTTTGCGCCCGGCGGAAAGCTGAAGCCGATCACTCCGTGGTGGATGCTCTGGCGTGAGGCTGCAGGAGAAAGGCAGAGCCACGTCCCGCACCCTGCGTCCCACATCCATCCCCATGTCCTACATCCCACCCTGAGGCCCACCCCGTGTCCTGCTGTGGGGCTCCGTGGGAGCCAACCCTGAGACGGTGGACGGGAAGCAGCCGGCCCCCACCCCGATCCGGCCTGTAGATCTCCAGCCAGCCGCCCCCACCAAAAAGAAAAAAGAGCATTTTCCAGCATTGGCATCCAACCCCAATCCTGCTGCCTCCTTTGGTTGATGTCAGGAAAAAATCCAAGCTGAGTGTGAATCACTGCCCGCCCGGCCAGGATGAAGTGCTCGCCCCCAGCGTGCCCCCGAGCACACGCTGTCGCAGACTGAGGAGACCTCCCCAGGTCGCTGTAACGAATGACCTTACGGGATTAGGGCCAGTAATCTTCCAAACGGGGTAATCTCTTCTAAGGGATTATTTGCCCACGGAAGTGTGGTGACCACCGGCCAGCCGCTCCCTCCACCCCTATCCCCCGCAGTCCCCGTGCAGCCACCCAAATCTCCGGCAGCCCGGAGGTGCCGCAGCGCTCGGGGTCACCACGCACTTTTTGGGGAGCTCCTCGCCAAGGGCACGAGCCAACAGGCCAGGTCCCCCGCCACCGCCGGTGTTTCTCCACTCCCCCAGCCCACGCTCGGTGCCTCGGGGATGTCACCGGGGCTTCTTCCCTAAAAGCGCCGAGCCAAGACAGACCGGAGGCCCCTCCACCATCAACGGGGAAGCAGCGGTGTCACCGTCCTGGCACGACACCGGGCGGCACTGCCGGGGAGGCAGCACCGGCCGGCGGTTACGAGCGGGGAGCTGCCCCGGCTGAAGCTCGGTGGGTGTTTTTGGGGCAATTTGAGAGCGCAGAGCCCCGGGGAAGCAGAACCGGCGGCTCCGAGCTGGGAACCGGGCAGTTTCACCGCGGAGGAGCAGCGCTGTTTCGGGGCTCTTTCCGAAGAGGGGACCCCCGACACAAAACCCCGCATCCCCTGTCCCCTGCCAGCCCCGGGTGGGCTCCCTGCACCCTTCTCCTCACCCAGCGAGGGTCTCCCAGCCCTTGCCATCAGTGCTGGGTCCCCCTGCACCCCCGACACCCCATTTCTGTGTCTCCTCTTGCTCACGGGATGGGGGGGGGGTGGTTACCTAAGGGGATAAACCCCGTTTTGTGGGGCAATAGTTCCCCCTCCCCACAGGCCGGGTCATTGACGCAGCCGCCTGGCAGAGCCTCCCGGCTGCTCCGAGCTTCCCCGGGGCTGGTCCCCGCCCAGCGCAGACTGGGGGGGCACGGGGGCTGGCCGAGGGTGAGCCGAGCCTTCTGCCGGGCCGTGGGGCCCCGTGGGGCCACCCCGTGGACGCGGAGCCGGCGCTGGGGTCCCCCACTCCTCGCCAATCCACACCCGTGGACCCGCTCACTCTGCTGTGCCGTCACTGCCGCGGGCGGGCGCCTCCCTCCCTGCCCACGCCCACTCCCTGCGAGGTCGCCCGCGCGTGGGGTCTTTTTGTTTTACATATATATCTTTTTTTTTTTTTTTTTTTTTTTTTTTTTTTCTCAGACGCGCAGCCGGCGCTAACCACCCCGCCCCGCGCCCCCTGTTCCGTCCCCACGAGCTCGCTCCTCAGCGGGGTGACCGCGGCCCCGTGGGCCTCCGACCCCCACGCGTGGGGCCGCGGCCCGTGGCGGCCGCCAGGGGGCGCGCTCCACCCCACCCCCACCCCCACCCCCCCCCCGCCCTTCCCGTGGCGGAACTCGCCTGCGCGGCTGCGGCTGCGGCCCGGCGGGGAGCGGCGGCGGACACGGCCCCACGGCCACGCCATGGCGCGGGACCCGGCCTTCGTGCTGCGCTACCTGGCCGAGGTGGAGGAGCTGGCTGAGGACGTGCTGGCGGCGCGGCAGCAGGTACGGCCGGGCCCGGGCCCCGGTGGGCTCCGCACCACCCCCCCCCACCCCGGTCCCGGTCCCGGTCCCGGTCCCGGTCGCCCCACGCGCCTCTCTCCCGCTGCAGATCGTGGACCTGGACGTGAAGCGGAACCGGAACCGCGAGGCCCTGCGGGCGCTGCAAAAGGAGCCGGAGCCCGACGGTGAGGCCGAGCTCCCCCGGTGCCGCCTCCCCCGGGGCCCCGGGAGCCGAGCGGCTGCCTGGCCGGGCAGGGAACTTCCTCTGATAAAACCTCTTCCTCTTCCTCTTCCTCCTCTCCCCGCCAGGCAAGGCCATGGTCTGCTTCGGGAACATGTTCATCGAGCTCCCCCACGCCCAGACCAAGGAGATGCTGCAGAAGGGTACGGCGGGCCGCCCCCGGGCTCTGCCCACGCGCGGGGAATGACATTTTAGCCAAATAAACAGGGTTCTGACCAGCGCCGGGCTCCCAAGGGCCCAAAGCCGAGAGAGAGAGAGAGAGAAGCCACAGGCAGATTCTGGCCGTCGCTCGGCTGTCCCCGGGCATGGAGCAACGTGGGGCTCAGCCCCGTGGGCAGGGTGGGACCCCGAGGCAGCTGGGGAAGGCCCTGGGGCTGGGCTCCCCCCCAACCCCGAGCACCCCACGGGAGGGTCTGCCCACACCCCGCGGTCCCGAAGTCCTCCTCACTCCTGTCCCGCTTCTCTCAGACCAGGAACATCTGGATGAGGAGATAAACAACCTCCGGAAAGAGCTGCGCGTGAAGGTCAACCGCCTCTTTGAAGCTCAAGGTAAACGCTCCTCTTCTGGAACCTTCTCGGTCTGTGGGAGCAGATGGTGTGTGGCGGGAGGGTCCAGAAACTCCTGAGCTCTGCGTGTTCCTGCAGATGCTTCCCCCACTGGATTGGCAATTCCTTCCTGCTCCAGGGAGCTGCACGGTTCCTGGTGCGGAGCCGTCACCCGCCAGCACACTAAACAGGCTCCCACATCACAGCGCGGTGACCCCACGTCAGCTGCCAGGGCTGTCCCTGCCCTCCCCGCAGCTCCTCTGCAGTTTAACGTGGATTGCTTCGCGTATTTCGTAGCGAAAAATCCTGATTTTTCCGTGTGTTTTCTCAGGTAAAGCTGAGCTGAAGGGATTTAACCTGAACCCCATGACCGCAGAGGAAATGAAGCTAATCAACCGCATCCTGGAGGGCTGAGGTGGCCGGGCCATCGCCACGGCACGGATTCGGGCTGTCACCCGTGGAGCTCGCGCTGCCACAGCCGCAGCCTTCGGGGTTTGCAGGAGGACATCGGCGTGCCCGGAGCCCGCCGTGGGCCAGGTCCCTGGCAGGCGCTGGGAAGCGTTTGGCTCCTCGGCTACGACGCCGCAGATTCCTTGGCTCACAAACCCTGTCCTGCTCCTTGCTGCCAGCCCCCGTGGCTGGGACACAGCGCTAGGCAAACCCCCCCATGGCCGGGGTGGAAGGGGGGATTATTAAAATCAGAGCAGCGGGACGTTCCTAACTCTGTGTGTACGTTCCTTGTTGGGTTTTTATGCGAGCCCTTCTGGAGTTTGGCTTCAGAGCTGGTTCATTGTCGTGTTGGGAACAGGAGTAGGAGGAATTGGGAATCCACAGCATGCCCGAGGCACAGAAGAGGAATTGTGCACGCCTGTGGTATTAAAACAAAGCCAAGCTATACAGCTGAAGCACGCCAGGAATCTCTTTAAAGATGTGTAGGGAGGGACAGGAGGAGGCAGCATCCTTCTAGTCTCACTGGGCAAACTTCTGCTGTTAAGTTGGAAGGCAAGAGACCACAGAAACGAGGCTTTTGAAACTAGGCGAAGGGATGAGTTGTAGGTATATTTTAAAAAGCAGCCTGAAAGGGCTGAGCAGGAATAGTCACCGAGCCTGTCTTGTAGTAAAAGGACAATTGATTCAACCAGTAGTAGTTTCTGCAAAGATTTTAAAATTTGTTGTCTTCTACACTACCTCCTTTAGTCTGAACTTACTACACCAGCACAACTTAGTTAAGAAGATTTTTAAAAATTGATTGTCACTAGTAAGGGACTATAGTGAGTTTGATTTTTTTCTGTATACAGGAAAGTGGGTCCTGCCAAGCCCCCTCTCTTTGAACTCCTGCAAAAAAAATTTCAGGGTAGAATTTAAAACCTTTAAGCGTGGTGGTTGTCCTTGTTTCTGTGGCTCCTGAGGTAGATCACCCATCCTGTCAAACCCCGCACGCCTGACGCAGAGCTGGGCCCGATCTCTCGCTCTTCCCTTCTGCGCAGCCGTGCGGATCCTTAGCACAGCACCAGCCTGGCCCCGCTGCCCGACCGCCTGCCAGCCCAGCAGGGCCGGGGTGCCTCCTCCAGGCAGCCCGGCACGGCCTTGTCCCATCCACACACACTTCAAATTACGCAGAGTTCCAAAAACGCCCTATTTCAGACTCCTTAAATCTGAGGTGTGATTTCTTTAAATCTAAAAAGCCAACTACCATCGCTTGATCTAGGTTTCAAAGTTCTGTAGCTAACGCCACGTACCTTACAAGTACAAGAGGCGAGGCTGTCCACTCCAGGCTTACGTTTCAGACACACGGATTAAAAATAATGTGCACTTACTACCTGAACTATCCTGCCTGTAGCTTTTTCAGAAAATCGCATCTCTTCTGGAAGCGAGCAGCAGTGCACAGTGCCAAGCCCCCGTGCCAGAGCCGCACTCTTGCATAACCTGGGTAGCACAGCCAGCCGTCGCCGCCGTAACGTGACGGCGAGGTTATTTTTACAGTATCATGGCAACAGGTTTTCCGCACCGACATGTTTCCATAGTAGTAGCAATAGGAGGATCGGGTGCCTGCCTTCCCTAAAAGCTTTGTTTTGCCGCGCAGAATGTGTTTGGCCCCTTTATTTTCTTACACGGCCTAGAACTATGCTCTCTGAGCGCCGAGGGACAGCCGAGCAGCCGGCATCCCCTGTGCCTCGTGTCACCCATTGTGCAGCATCTCGCTCGAGCCCACTGCAGCTTCCAAGCTGGGAAACCTTCAGAAGCAAGAAAGCCAGCGTCTTGTGCAGAGCCACCAGTGTCCAGAGAGAAGTGGGAACCGCTGCTGCCCGATACGGGGAAGAGAGAGTGAACTTCACCCATGGTGACCTCTCCCATCCCGAGCTTGGCATCAGCGTTGCACTTTCTGCTGTGCAGGAAGATTCCTGAAAAGCTGCTTCAGTTGTTTCCTCCTGCCATTGCAGCAGCCTGCACTGAAAGTGTTCTTACACACCACTTTACTCTTCAGCAGCCTGCACTGAAAGTGTTCTTACACACCACTTTACTCTTCAGCAGCCTGCACTGAAAGTGTTCTTACACACCACTTTACTCTTCCTTCCTGTAGGGTTGAGGTAATCTCCCACTCCCAGGTGAAGCTGTGCTCGCGTTTTGTTAGACACTACAGCCAGAGATGACTTGCAGGCATACCGAGCTGCGTGCTGCAAAATAAACTTACAGTACATCTCAGCCTCTAGGAAGTACGACTTCAGAAACCGAGTCCTACTTCCCGACAGTGAAATACAGAACTGGCTTCAGGAAAGTGCCCAGTAAACGGTCACCACGTGACCGCAGAACTGGTTTTGCAGCAAAACTGGCATATGAAGAACGCTGCTGTGGCTTAACTCTTGAAAAGCAGGACTAGGAACAAAACCGTTGCCACTAGATTTTCATGCTTGCTTTCAACAGTGCTTCTGCAGCCTGGTCGCTTACACCCACTTTTGGAAAGCATTTGCTGCTTTTGGTCCCCTCAATCCCGTAAGAGCTCACAGGCCCGTTCTTGTTCTTTCGTCCTCGAGTGAAAGGTGTGTGCTCTCGCTGACATGCAGGTGGCTTAGGGAGGCGAGCAGGGCACCCTGCCAGCCCTGGACGGGTACACACCTAAACGTGTGTTTGCCCTGACGTTCTCGTTCAGCGGGGTACCCAGGTCCCCCCTCCGCTGACAGGCCCGTTGTTCTGTATCAGGGCAAAGCCTCCAACACACATCTCCTTCCCCATCAGCCTACAGCATCAAATACACGTCCCGAAGTACCTGAGCAATGACAATTATCTGTCTGCACACAGGAATAAACTCCCGGACAATCGAGAGACAAAGCTGGACAGCTGAAAGCAGCGGACATCTTTCTACTATTAATATCTGAGGTTAGCACAGTCGTAAAGTCAATCACAAAATGCTGCAAGACAAGCTGCTTGGAACAGAGCGCTCCAGAGCGGCAAGTGTGGGAGGCACGATGCAGCAGGGCCTCTGCAAGAGGGCTCTTGTGCAAGTCCCAGCTCTGACACGACTCCATTCCCTTTGCAGCCCCGTGCTGCTTTGTTTCCCCACTCTGAAGTGGCAGCATGCTCGCCTACTTTGCTCTGTTTCTGGAAATTCATCATTTAATCGCTATAAAGGTTAGAGTATCATGATCAGCTGCCCAGAAAGACATGGAACCAGACCATCCACTCCGAACTTTTTTAATAAAACTCCTTAGAAGATAATAAACATCTTTGCCTGCCTGCTCTCCCTGTCCACAATATGAAGTGTGTCTTTGAGATGATGACACTTGAGTTCACAGTCTTCCTGGCTACAGGCAGTGAGGGAAGGTGAAGCATTTCCCTCCAGAAGCCAGCTGAGGAGACAGGACAACAGCAAATTAGGGAGAAACAGGCAGTTTTGCCAATGGTTCATCTAAGAGAAACGCCTGTCCACAAAATCATTACCCTGCTAGCAGGCAGGAGTAAGCGTGAAGCAATAGGAAATCCAACCCTAAATCTCTTTCCCATGTGCTGAGCCAAAGAACATTCTGAGCTTATTGCAAAGTTTCTATTCCTGTTCTCAATGGTACTAACGAAAAAAAATCCCTCTGGCTTCCAGAAAGACACACAAGTGAAAACCAAAGTCTAGCTGAAGCAGTAGACACTGAGGAGAATTCACAGAACGAGCGTTAACCCTTTTCAGTGGCGGAATGTGGGTGTCTCCTGGGAACAGTTTCCCAGCACAACAGTGTTCAAACAGCTCTCCTACGAGAGCCCGGCAGCGCTGTCTGAGCGCCGTGACGACATCGAGGACTTTCGTTCCGATTCTTTCGTTTCCTGACCAACTGAAGTTACTCCAACTCTTTTATGTGCGGGCTGCCTAAGCAGGATTTTGGGTTGAGGCTATGAACAGAGTAGATTGTGCAAATCAGAACCGCCCAGGACCACAGCCGAGCTGCATTTATTTGCTCGCTAGAAATAAAGCTGTCCCCAGTGGCACCGCATGAAATACTGGACTGAAGCTGACAGGACACAGAGCTGTAGCAGGTATACCAGCTACCATGTCCCGTTAGAGGGAAGAGTTAAAAAAAAATAAATTGGAGAAGACATTTCGTAGGAGAGAATGTCAACAGAAATCATATTGAAGGGAAATTTCCTTACCTATGGTACCGCTTGCACTTTACGTGATTAAGGCTGAAAGAATAATAATCCTATTTGCTTGTCATTTCGGAAGTACTATTTGCTGTTTCTGTTTTTCTCAACTCCTGTAATGACAAGGCAGTTGCACTCTCGGGTTCCTGCTGTTGCAATACTTGGGTCGTGTATGTAGCAGATGAATTCTGAGAATTTCGGCTGAACTTTAATGATACATATTTTTCACTTAGCCAGTGAGAAAACCTGTATTAAAAAAAAAAAAAAAAAGTCTAGAGTAAAATTATGTTTTCAAGGTTGTCTTCTTGCTGTTTTGTCTTAAGTACCCTCAACTCCCATGGAGCCCTTTTCACTGCAATTAGCAGGAGGGACCTCTTCCAGCTGGGGTCTGCCTTTTAGCCCGTGTACCACAGACACGGGTTATGTTTAGTGCTGGCAGCCAAATGGCACCGGCTGGAGGTTTATCGGTGCTGATGGGGCCCTGCTGTAAGATACACGGGCAGAAGAAGAGATGGTAGGACCCCTCCATCTCTGGCAAGTGCCGCGATACTTGAGATATGCTGATACTTGGAGGGGAACACATTGCAGATTGGCAGGGATTCACAACCCAGGGCTAGAGATCCTACAGACAGTTACAGGGTGCTGCACCCAGCTCATAAACCCAAATACTCCAAGCAAAAGCAGCCGTAGCCTTCCAGATGGCAGCTCCCTTCATGTAAAAATGTTCCAACCTCTCTACACCTCACTTGCAGTTCCTGACCAGCTCCCTCTCAGCCAGCCTGCAAGCACCTACCTACAAGATGCAGAAGCACCACGAAAGACCCCCTGTCCCAGGGAAAGCAGCTGGCCTCATGCTATAACCCCCTGCACGCTTATTAACACCCTCAGAGTTCCAGATCCTGATGGATCAGGATGTTGGAGCCATGGAGCTCGACGCAGTGCTTGTCATGGCTAATCACCTTCTGAACACTCGGGAGGCTGTGGATGCAAGCGTTGTCCACATCTGCAAAGAGAACTCCCACCAATCCTTCCCAAGCTGCTCAGTCACCCACTTGCAGCCCTGAGACATCCAAACACAATTATATGAAGCCGTTCCCA